GTAATTATATGGAGTCCAAATCCAAGATGTATTGGGTTCGTTGTAACACTAACACATTCATATGTTTGCTAGTATGAAATATAAGTCCGAAGCCACTGTATGACACCCTGATTATCAATATCTATAAAGGATATTGGCCCTGTTCACTTCGATGAAAAGCTAGACTGATTTGTTATGAGAGAAAAACACTGATAAGTCAGGTTGATAAGTTTAAACGAACAGAGGGCCAATAAGGTATACATTATGAAAGTACTTTCCATAACCAATATAATCTATAAGTGGTGGACCCGAAGCCCAGTGACCCTGGGCGCCTACCTGGGCTCCAGCGCCCGCGCTTTGCCCTTCATCGTAGCACCTTTAGTCGGAAGCTTTGAATTACATGGTCTGATTGGTGTCTTAAGTCTCAGGCTCTATTTCAGTCCTAGGTCCACTACTGCTCTCTTGGCAATTTATATAAGATTTCGGAGCTGTTCGGCTGATGGTTTCTGTGACCGATAAACCAGCTGAAGTTGATTTATTGTGAAAAAAAAATATTATTTTATAGCTGATAAGTTCAAACGACCCGGCCAGTCAAAATTTGACTTGGGATGAACCTATATAGATACTAGAACAACTAGTAGGGTGCTACCGTGCAAGTAAAGTGTCTTTTAGTTCAAAGGCAGCAGGCCAGCAGCAACTGTAAAAGTGAGAAACCGCTAGTTTCTTTTACATACTCTGACCGATAGATCAAAGTCAAGATGCGAAGCAAATCACGACGAAGCTGAAGCAGCCGCCTGATATGCTGCTCATGTGCAGTATTGCAGCTCCCTGACTTGACCCGCTGTAAATTAACTGTCACAATGCCGCAGCATGCTTGTACTTAGGGGTCACAAGCCTGTCTCGGTCTCTGTAGCTCCATCTTTTCTTCTTCTTGATGGTTCCTACAAGCACCACCCCGTGCATCCTATCAGGGCACCAGCCTTCTCCGTTGTCTCATTGTCTGGGCTTACATGGCCAGGCCAAGCTAAGCCACTGACCTTTACTTGTACGGAGTATGTCCATTGCTAAATCCAGAGAGGAGAGAGGGGGAGAGAGAACGCTGGAAATTAAAACTCGTAGTGCATTTCAAGTATATATATACTGGAGGTCATACTATTCCTACTCTCAAGTCCCAGTGTTTGGTACAGTGCAGCTCTGGCCGGCTCCGTCTCCGGCTCTAGCCCTGGCTTGGCTTCTCCGTGCAATGTAACTCAGCTATAGAGCAGCGAGCTACTTTTATCTCCTTAAAATGAAATAAAAGTCGTGTAGACCATTTTTTTTCTTCAGCTGCCTCTTCGTGCACTATAACAACGAGTCAGAAGGCGGACAAAGCCATGCCAACCGCGTATTGGATATATGTCTCGTGTTTTCCTTATATACAAATAAAAGCATTTATTCACTAGTAATGTATACTCCCTTAATACTAAAAAATAAATCGTTTTGGACAGCAACACAGTCTCCAAAGCATAACTTTGACTATTTATTTTTATAAAGATATTTATCAAAAAATGATATATGCAAATTTTTGTGAAAGTATTTTTCAAAATAAATCTATACATATGGTTTTCACATTTCCAAATTCAACAACTTAAAAGTTATTCATAATTTATATTCCCAATGTTTGACCCAAGCCTTTTTCAAAACGACCTCGTTTTTAAGTATGGAGAGAGTATATAATAAAAAAATATTACCCATAGAAAATAAAAGCATTTATTAAGCAGAAAACCTAAATTGTGGGAATGTCACTTTCACCCACAGTCCACTATAACTTCTCTCTCCTGTCCTCACTCCTAAAGTGCTAAACTCCCAGTAGTACTTGACACCAGCACTTGCTGGCTACCAATCTACTACCATGTAGGAATAGGATAGCCCAGCTCAAAGGCTAACAAAGCATGCATGCAGCCCTAGGCCTAGCCTGATCAATAGCTCCCTTGTGCTTGTGCATTCCATGCCCATCTCAATACTGGAGCAGGGCTCTGTAAGAGGTGCCCTTGTCTTTACTGCTCTCTTTATCTCTATCTCTCTCTACCTCTGAGCTGAGCTGAGCTGCATGCATGTCCTACACCAGCACAAGGATGAGGGAGAACGAAGCAAACGAATAAAACAGGTCTATTACCTATACATGCATGCATATACAGATGTTTGTGTGTGTGTGCATGTGCATGCCTGATGTTTGTGTTTTCTTCGCCCTCGCAAGATCTAGTGTGTGAAGAGCCCTAGCTTACTCCATTTAATGTAATGATCCATGCAGCAGGAGAAGAGAGGCCTCTCAACACATCTGTTGCTGGTTGCAAATAGACAGCGCAGCGCAGCGTTAAGAGTGTAGTGTTGTTGTTGTGGGGCTTTCCTGCCTAGTAGACTAGCTAGATGTTGTGTGGACGCTACGGTATGTCTCACAAACATGGCGAGACATGTAGAGTTGTAGACACACGGTCTGTTCGCTGGTTGGATTCTGAGCTGATAAGTTCAACTGGTACTGATTTATTGTAAGAAAAAAACGTTGTATTATTACTGATAAGCACTCGACACTCTCGATCTCGCTCGCTCTCTTCCTGGGCTCCTGGCCGGAGGAGGGAGAACATAGAAAAGGGATAGATACAAGGCATACAGCAGTGACAACACAGCTTCATGTGGATTGCAACCGTCACAGAATCCAAGGATCACATTTGCTAGTAGTAGCTGCTTCAGGCCGTTCGATTCGCTGAAAAAATAAACAGAAACACTATTTTAACTGATTTGGTGTGAGAGAAAAATACTGAGAAAAAAAAAAGTCTTGAGAGGGTAGAGAGGCTGTGAGAGGGATCGGGGAGGCAGGTGTGTACGTGTGTGAATGTGTGCCAGTAGGAGAGGAGAGAGAAAGGGACGGCTGTGTGCAGAGCACACAGGTGAACTGATAGAGAACTTTCAGGCTTTCCTCTCTCTCCCCCACATAATAGCTCTACTGGAGTACGGAGTACTCTCTCCCTCAAGTAGGAGTACGTCTCTACCTATACGCCCCAAACCAACACTTTAGGTCCGGTTTAGTTTAAAAAAATTTCAATCCAAAATGTAATATCGCATATGCATGGAGTATTAAATGTAGATGAAAAAAAACTAATTACACAGTTTGGTTGGAAATCGCGAGACGAATCTTTTAAGCCTAATTAGTCCATGAAAAGCCTTAAGTGCTACAGTAACCCACATGTGCTAATGACCGATTAATTAGTATCATTAGATTTGTCTCGCAGTTTCCTGATGGGTTCTGTAATTTATTTTTTTATTAATATCCAAAAACCCCTCCCGATATCCTTTCAACACATTTAATATGACATCCAAAAATTTTCAACTCACCAACTAAACACCCCCTTAATAAAGATCACAGCCTTTCCCATATGCATTGGCTGCTACCAAACTGCGCTGTCTTTTTGCTTTTGTGCCATCAAACTGCACTAGTAACCGTGTAATACTCTACTCGATCAGTACTCACATCACATCCTCGTCCATGCTACCAGTACCAGCCGCAACTCTCTCTCTCTCTCTCTCTCTCTCTCTCTCTACCCCCGGCCCCTTCTCTCTCTACAATTCCAATCCACCATCCGATATATACCCCCGTCCGGCCACTTCTGTTTTTCCTCGACCTATCTCCTTCCAAAGCTCCATTGCATCTCATCGTGCTCAGCTGTCTCACTCCCTGCCGGCCTGCTCTCTCTGCTCCACCATGTAAGAACCACAACTACCCCTCGTCACTTTTCTGGTGGTGTGCTTGCATTGTTCATATCCATCTGTTCTTCTGAGCCACTATTATTCTCTCTCTCTCTCTCTGTGCGTTTCCTGTTTATGTGTGCACATTTGTTGTGTTCTCTTCTTTTTCCTGTTCATCAACCATTGCTCCTGGATGTTCTTTGTTTGCTAGTACATGTGTAGTGCTGAGCGTCTGAGCTCTTAATCAGCTTGTGCTATCAAAAGGCAGGAATCTGGATCTTCGTGAACAGCTTGTTTGTCTAGATGACTTAGATCGTTCTTGTACTATGCACAATTGCTACTTTATTTTTTTCCTCGCTGCTTCGATTGTAGTAGTTGCACATCTTGCTCATCATATCTGAGATCCTATGCTCATGCCTGTGTATATAGGATCTGCTTTAACCTTGTGATTCGATCTATATAGATGTATAAACTGCTCTTCAATTCCCGGGCAAGAATTTAACTTCTTTTGTGTATTCTTCACTATGTCCTGTGAACTCCAGGCCTGGACCTGAAGGGAGCCCATTGGACCTGAACAACTTGCCGGAGGAGTATGGCAAACAAGCGGTAGAGAGCTCCACGACCACCGCCACATCAAGCGCCGATGCAGTTACTAGTAAGGAACTACATACAGCACTAATATTCTCTTGTTTAATTTGAAGGTGAAGTAGTTCTAGCTAGTTGCTTCATGAAAGAATGACCTGCAATTGAACAGCAATGGAGTTCTAGCTTTCTTAAAGTTCTGTACTTTGAACATTCCCGGCTAGCTAGTTTGCAGAACTAATATGCTAGGTCTGTGGATGCGAAGGATTATTCCTCATGAACGATCTTGAATGTCAAGAATAAAAGATTCTACTCACTTTGCGTACAAATATATACAATATCTCTCAATTTTTACAAAGGGGAAGATCTCTCTACACTTTGTAGCGCATAAGGGACTGATCGATGTATGCGTGTGCAGGGATAAAGAAGAAGAGCCGTGGAGGGAAGGATGCTGCTGCAAAGGTGTATGAGTGCCGGTTTTGCTCCCTCAAGTTCGGCAAGTCTCAAGCGCTTGGCGGCCATATGAACCGCCATCGACAAGGCAACATCATACACCACTATAGCCCTAGCTAATTACACAATGCTTTCATTTGCTTCCATATTTTTATGGGTCATTATTGATTTCTGGGCTTCCTCTTCCAGAGAGGGAGACTGAAACCCTCAACCGTGCCCGGCAACTCGTCTTCGGCAACGAGAGCCTCGCCGCCATCGGCGCGCAGATGAGGTAAGGCATATACTTGCTCTACTGCAGAAGATCACGATCGCGCCTTCTCTTTGATTAGGGTTTCTCAGTGCTCACACCCATTGCAATTCTGTGGGTACAGTTTCCGGGATGTGAGTATGGCTGGCGCTGCCTCACCGACCGTACTGGGAGGAAACTTCCGGGGAGGCGCCAGCGCCACCGGTGGCAGCAGCTTCGGCGACCCGTGCCTCCCGTTCCGGCTGTCGCCGCAGCCTTCGTACCATTACCTCTACACGGCGCCACCATCCACACTGCACCCGATGAGCTACCCGGCGACGTACCCGGGCCCACCGCGCCAGCCTTCGGTCGGCGACTACGTCATCGGACACGCAGTCTCCGCCGGCGGCAGCGACGCCCTGATGCAGTCGACACACCGCGGCAGCTTCTCTTGCTTCGGAGCTCCACTCACCGCTCCGCCGGCTGCGGCGGCGGCGGCGGCGGTGGCTGCTGGTGCTACGAACGTGCAGGCGGCCGACAAAGTTAACTGCAACTGCAGCTTCGGCTGCGGCGGCCACAACAGAAATAATAACGTGAATGCCTTCACTTGAGCAGATGCGGACCGTACGCTATGGTTAATGCATGCAGTTAAGTTAGTGTAAAGAGCCAGAAATTAAATTAGATGATGCGTGTTTTGGACATTAAAGACAGAAGTGTTCTGAGGTTCTACTTCTAGATATAATATGATGTCTGCAATGGATGTCTGGATCCAAACTAAATCTTTAGTTTTGCATGAATTTTTGTTGGTTTTGGTACTTTGTACAAAACATATTTCACAACGGATGTTTGGAAAAATGTTTAGTCAATCTTTCAGAAAAAAAAAATTTAGTCAAATTAATATACACAGATCATAACCATGAGCGTAACTTTATATAATTTCGTTAACATGCATGCTACTGTGATCCTCTTATGCATGTTAAATGCTACTCCCTCCATTTCAAAACGAAGGTTATGTATTAGGATTACATATATTTTAAAAAACAAATATTGTAAACTTTGACCATAAATTACTCAAAACATATGTATGTTTAGTACCTAAAAGATGCATCAGTAGATTTCATATTTCATGTATATGTATTGTAGTAAGAATTTGGTTTTGTAGTAATTGATAACGTATTCTAAAAAAAACTAATGATCAAGATCAAAACCTAACTTGAAAGGTTTTATAAAATCCTAATAATGCTGCTTTGTAAAAATTAAATGTAATGCCCCGACCGGAAGGCCTAGCCGTGGTGGGACCGTAGTCGGACTCCGACCCTCTTTCTCCGACCGAGGATACGCCGGACCTCTACTCGTTGCTCTTTCCCGACAGACACGGTCGGGGTCGACTGGGAACGACCGACCAGGGACGCCCGCTCGGTGTGGGCCCGGGGAGCAAGCGGAGCAGATAAGGTAAGGCGCTCAAGTTAACCGCAATACCGAGGACCGTACCTTGCCATGCCCTGCGCACCTACAGGACGGTGCCGTTGGGCCATATCAGACGGACACTGTACAGCCTGCCAGACGCGTCAGAGCATAAACAATATTGTGGGCGCCGTCGTTTGCCGTACTAGGCGAACACTGTGCAGCCTGCCAGATACAACAGAGCATGAACAGTAAGGTGGCCGATGGCGGCGTAAACAGTATGGCGGGCGACGGTGGCCATCCCGTACCCGATGGCGTGGGCAACAAGACTAGGCAACGCACGTATACACTCTCTCTCTTTCTCTCTGACTTGTAAGGCCATCCCCTTCAACTATAAAAGGGGATGAGCTCTCTCCTAAAAGACAACCCGAGGACTTGAGGACTTGATGACCCGAGGACTCGACGACTCGATGACTCGACGGCTACACAGGCTACCGAACACGGTCTCAACAGTCTCAATAGCTCGCAAGCTCAGGCACACAGAGACGCACACAGAGCACACGCTCCGACACTTAGCATATGTTTGAGCCCCCGTCACTCTCTTCCACTCGGACTAGAGCCCGACCAGGCCTTTACACCCCCCACTTCATTCCTCACTCGTTTGTAACCCCACAGCAAACTTCGAGCACCTGGGCTCAGGAATAAATTCACCAACCGACCTCAACTGGACGTAGGGCCCGTTGCCTGAACCAACTAGTATAAATCCTGTGTCATTGAGTGCTAGGCCACATCCGATCACAACGCACGACAAAACTACAAATATTTACTTGTTGGCCACATTTCGCAACCGACAATTGGTGCCGTCCGTGGGGAGGACGCCATGCACTTTTTGGTCATCGGATGGACCACCTTTCCACCATCTTTGGCATGGCGGGCTTGAGCGATATGATTCGCTTTGGCTCATTGGAGTTTTCCACGCTCCCACTTGTTGAGATGTGGGTTCCTCCCTTCTTCGAGCCGCTCTAGACCTTCCTCTTCGGAAGTTTAGACTTCATCGCCGACCAGCTAGGCGTACTCCACCTCCGCAAGGAGGCGCTCATCCCGGCATCCACTAGAGGAGGAGCGCCCTCCACCGGCCCTGGGTCGCTCAACGACCTTGATGTCGAGACACTCATGCTCTGCCTTGAGTCCATGCTGGGCTCAAACCCCATGGCGAGTAACGTAGATATTATTCTTTGCTCACTATTTAACACCTTCCGCCAGCTCTCCGGAGGGACCCAATTGTCCCCACCGTGACCGTCACACGATCGGTTCCCCTATGGCTTCGCGTTCCCCATGGACGCGTGCGCACGGGGGCTCTGGAGGATGCTGATGTCGCCCCCTCTCATGTCCGAGTTCATGGGGATGGCGGGCTATGAGCCTGCCTCCTTCCACGACCTTGTCGATGAAGGCCACACTAACCAAACTAACAAGCTCTCACAACTAGCGACACTAAAGAGCTTGACAACTAGTTTGCGGTAATGTAAAGTGAGTGAGCAAGAAGGTTATACCGCCGTGTCGAGGAAGGAGCCAATCAATCACAAGAGTGAATAACAATGAAGTCCAATCACCTCGGAATCAAATGATGAACACAATGATTTTTTACCGAGGTTCACTTGCTTGCCGGCAAGCTACTCCTCGTTGTGGCGATTCACTCACTTGGAGGTTCACGAGCTAATTGGCATCACACACCAAACCCTCAATAGGGTGCCGCACAACCAACACAAGATGAGGATCACACAAGCCACGAGCAATCCACTAGAGTACCTTTTGGCTCTCCGACGGGGAAAGGTCAACAACCCCTCACAATCACCACGACCGGAGCCGGAGACAATCACCAACCTCTGCTCAACGATCCTCACTGCTCCAAGCCATCTAGGTGGCGGCAACCACCAAGAGTAACAAGCGAATCCCGCAACGAAACACGAACACCAAGTGCCTCTAGATGCAAACACTCAAGCAATGCACTTGGATTCTCTCCCAATCTCACAAAGATGATGAATCAATGATGGAGATGAGTGGGAGGGCTTTGGCTAAGCTCCTAAGGTTGCTATGTCAATGCAAATGGCCAAGAGAGTGAGCTTGAGCCAGCCATGGGGCTTAAATAGAAGCCCCCATGAAATAGAGCCGTTGTACCCCTTCACTGGGCACAGCACGGGGTGACCGAACGCTATGATCATATTGATCGGACGCTGGACCTCAGCGTCCGGTCACGCGATACATGCCACATGTCCCCTCTCTTCAAATGTTGATAGCCCGGTCTCAATGGTCAAGTGACGACCGGACGCAGCAGCTCAAAGTGACCGGACGCTGAACCCCAGTGTCCGGTTGTTTCCAGTAAGCATCTAGAGATGACTTTTCACGACCGGACTCACCCAGCGTCTGGTCACATGGTGACTCTTCTGTGTGCTGCCACATCAGTAGGACCGGACGCACCCCTCCTGAGTCCGGTCACTAAGTGACCTAGCGTCCAGTCAGAGACCGACACCAGCGTCTTCGCAGCTTCTACTGACCGAACGTGCCGGTCCAACCGAGGCCAGCGTCTGGTCACTTACAGTGACCTCCATCTTCTACTGACCGAACGCGCCGGTCCAACCGAGGCTAGTGTCTTCGCAGCTTCTAATTGCTTCCAATCTAGTAACCGGGGCATATGTTTCTCCAAAGTCAAGACCTTCAACTTGTGTATAGACTTGTGCTACCAATCTTGCTTTGTTCCTTACTACAATCCCATCTTGATCTTACTTGTTTCTAAAGACCCATTTGGTTCCAATCACATTGTGTCCCTTTGGTCTCTCTACTAATTCCCATACTTGATTTCTTGTGAAGTTATTCAATTCTTCATGCATAACATTCACCCAATCAACATCCTTCAATGCTTCATCTATCTTTTTTGGTTCAATGGATGACACAAATGAGAAATGCTCACAAAATGAAGCCAATCTTGATCTTGTTTGTACACCTCTAGAAATATCACCAATTATAGTGTCCAATGGATGATCCCTTGCAACATTGGTTGGTTGGAGGATTGGAACTTGATTGCTTGCAATTGCTTGATCATTAGGTTGAGATGATATACTAGCCACTTGATCTTGTTCATTGTCATGAGAGCCACTTATACTAGCTTGATTTGTATCATCTTGCACATTTGAGTTAGAGAGCACTTGCACTTGATCATCTTCATTATCATTCACTTGCCTAGGCCTCAATTCACCAATATCCATGTTTTTCATGGCATTTGAAAGTTGAATGCCTCTAACATCTTTCAAGTTCTCATTCTCTACTTGTGAACCCTTGGTTTCATCAAATTCAACATCATGAACTTCCTCAAGAGTACCACTATCCAAATTCCAAACTCTATATGCTTTGCTTGTAGTGGAGTAACCAAGTAGGAATCCTTCATCACATTTCTTGTCAAACTTGCCTAATCTAGTGCCTTTCTTCAAGATATAGCATTTGCAACCAAAGACCCAAAAATATGCAATGTTGGGCTTTCTACCATTTAAGAGCTCATATGGTGTCTTCTCTTTCAATGGGTGACAATAGAGGCGGTTGCTACAATAGCAAGCCGTGTTGATAGCTTCGGCCCAAAAAGATTGACTCATATTGTACTCACTAAGCATAGACCTTGCCATATCAATAAGTGTTCTATTCTTCCTCTCAACAAGACCATTTGATTGTGGAGTGTACTTGGCCGAGAATTGGTGTCTAATATTGTCACTTCTAACTCTCTTGATGGTTGTTTCAAACTCATTGTGAATGCCCTTGACAGATGATTTGAATGTTGCAAACACATCACTTTTATCCACTAGAAAGAATACTCATGTATATCTAGTGTAATCATCCACTATCACAAAGCCATATTTGTTACCACCAATGCTAGTGTATTGTGTTGGTCCAAACAAATCCATGTGCAATAACTCAAATGCTTTACTAGTGCTCATCATGCTTTTCTTATAATGGGTGTTTCCAACTTGTTTGTCGGCTTGACAAGAGCTACAAAGCTTATCCTTCTCAAACACAACATCTTTCAAGCCTCTAACCAAGTCATGCTTAACCAATCTATTCAATTGTTTCATTCCAACATGACCAAGCCTTCTATGCCATAACCAACCCATGCTAGACTTAGTGAACAAATATGTTGATAATCTAGCTTCACTAGCATTGAAAT